CAATCTGGCCCGAGAAACTTAGATATCTTTCCTTGTGCTGCATTTGTAAAGGTACAAGACAAACAATATCGAACAATCAAATCGATCAATCAAAAAATAAAAACATACGCAATCTAATATAAACAGTCTCCAAGCACTCCGTTGATTTAACGCACTACGTTTCCAGGAGAGAGTGGAGAAAGAACACTACACGGCACAATAAAAATGTCTTTAAGTATTGTTAAGGTACATGGGTTTCATTTCCATTGTCATTCAGTCCGCAGGCGACGTGACACTCACACACACTCACTCTTGCAGGCGGCCCGCACCGCGCCCGCCACACTCACGCACACACTCACGTCCACGACGCGTCGCACGCGCCGTCGCTGCCCGGCACACTGTTCCCGCTCCCGGAGGAGCTGCCGTGTCCGGGCGGCTCAGGACGTCACAGGCTACTGCCAAACTCGGACGAACGTCTCCGGTCTATGTGCCTCAGGTACGTTTCCGAGTACACGCTCTTGGTCCGGTCGTCGAACCGGAGCGACGGCCGCCGCATATCAAGTGCGTCCAGGTCGGACGGCGGCCGTCGGCACAGTGAGCAGAACGCGCACTGCAACGTGTTCTTGAACGCCTCTCGGAAGTCGCGATTGAAGTAGGCGTAAATAAGGGGGTTGAGCGTCGAGTTGAAGTAGCCGATCCAGAAGAGGAGCGCCACGACGACGTCAGGACAGTAGCACGCGTCGCCGCACAGCGTCGTGATCACGTACCTGCAAACGGCAGCACGAGTCAGAAAACTGCCAAACGGTGCACATTGGCTAACCGCGCAGGCGTCAGCCGGCGTCAGCCGGCGTCAGCTGCAGCTACAAAATCCAATTCTCCCGTCTGACGCACACAAGAACATGGCGTTGTAACCATGGACATGTGAAAGGCTGTTCTCAGCTACCCGTCCCGCACGAACCGATCTTGTAATATATTGTAACAGTAAACGACAGAGCTGATAACACTCACCACAGGAAGAAAGGTAGCCAGCAGAGAATGAAGATGCCCATGATGATGCCGAGCGTCTTGGCAGCCTTGTGCTCGCGCTTCATCTTGCTGATCTGCCTGTCCTTGGTGGGCGTGCTCTGGGCCGCCTCGTGCAGCGTGAGGGCCTTGTTGGAGCCGCCCGAGAGAGCGTCGCCGTTGGACGCGCCGTGTGACATCATCATGGCGTTGCCCATGCGATTGTGCATCTGCTTCTCCTGCCGATTGGCCTCTTTAAAGATGGCGAGGTATGTGAAGATCATGATGGTGCACGGGATCCAGAAGGAGATGGACGACGAGATGATGGCGTACAGCTTGTTCACCTGCAACGAGAAAGAAAATGTCATCGGTTAGTCCTCAACGTTTTCTCTGATTTGACCGGGTCGCGATCCGCGGCGCAGCACCTCGCAAATTGACCCCTCCGTTTCCGAATGTCGCTTGGACTGATGAAAAATGGGGCGGGGGTGGCGGTGGGACCAAGTTAATTTCCTGCGGTTTAGACCCCCTCCCAGCCC